TGTGAACGAGGGTGCAGTTCAGTTTCACATTTTGATCATTTTAAGTACTTAAAAAGAAGCAAACATGTTGATATCCACGCAGATGGATTTTGCATAGTAAAATATGCATTAATATACAAAGTTGTTCAGTAATGCCATATGGTTAAAAAAAAAAATCCCACTGGAAAAAAAAAAGCTGCCGTTCACTGAATATTTGATTCTCAGACTGTCGTCTTTCACCTCGACCACTCGCACCACCTCAGCTGTAGGTGTGAATGATTCTGTGCCGCTTTAAATGATGCATGAGGATGAAGGTTTTCCCGCACTGTGAGCAGCTGTATGGTCGTTCCCCGCTGTGCGTCCGCTGGTGAACCCTCAGGCTGCTCTGCTGCGTGAACCTCTTCCCGCACTGTCCGCAACCGTACGGCTTCTCTCCCGTGTGAGTCCGGTGGTGTATGCTGAGGTGCGACGAGCACTGGAAACTCTTCCCGCACACTGTGCACCAAAACGCTCGCTTTCTCTTGTGGCTCTGCTGGTGCAGCTTGAACTGGTGGAGGCGGCTGAACGACTTTCCGCACTGCGAGCACCCGTAGCATCGGGCCGTCCCGGAGAGGGGTTTGTGTAGGCTGTGAGGGTTAAAGCTGCTCGGTGTGAACGTGTTGTGCGACTGAGTTACAACTGGTCCGTCTCGAGTTGCGGTCTCCCTCTCAGGGTCTTCCTCAAGCTGGCTCAGGTGAGTGGAGTGTGACGCGTTTCTCTGCGGGTAAATTTGTTCCTTCTGCTTGTCTTGCTGCAACAACAGAGCCTGCGACCTAGGCTGGAAATCTGACGACTGTGGAACGTCCTTCTGATATTCGCTGTTGTAAATCCCATTGCAAAGCCTCTGAGAAGGCAACTGCTGGACGTTAGTCGACTTGCTCAGGTTAGAAGTTACATTTGGATCTGAATGGTCCGGGTACGTGTTGGAATACTCCTCTACTACACTAGAGAAGTCAGGGAAACCAGTGTCAATGTCATTACCTTCAATTATGGATGACCAAATTTGGTTCTCTCTTTCATCCAATGAAAATTCAGCAGCAAGTTGCGTCTGCTTCCCCACATTGTGCTGGCACCCATCCTGTCTGAATGCCAGTCGATCTTCTTCCTTCTCTGTCTTCACTGTGAACTGAAGGCTACTGATGTCTACTGCACGCTGGGCAGAGTTAAACGAGTCACTGAACTCTGATGGCTTCTGTCTGGCAACCTCTGGATGGGTTAACTGGTGGCCCTCTTCAAACTGCTGGTTCTCTGGAGCACTAGCAGTGTTAGGGTACTGAACAGCAGAACCTGCAGGTGACAGGTGTTAGGAGACTTCAGGTGGGGGTGTAAAGTTCAATTAAGGTTTAATTCTTGCACAAAACCTAGGTCTTCAACTCACCAATTGGTCCAGCAGAATCACTGATCCATAGTGCCTCATCTGGACTTTCTTCTTTAATTGTGAAGGAAACAGTTGCATCTTCAATCTCAGGAAACTACACAAAAAGGTCATGGATTACCTGATTTGTTTTTCAACTTGAGAACTTCTAAGATATATGGTAATAATATAGAGATTGCAACGCCAGAATCTGCCAAATTAAGTTTTATATTTCACTTCTTTTAGCTTTGTTTTCCCCTCTACAAACAACTTACTAATTATTAATCCA